TACTACTACAAGGTGGGTGGCGAGAAGGCGCGGTGGACCTGGAAACGTCTGACACAATTACCGCCAGTGACACCTCCAAGGCGCCAACGAGCCCCAGGGTCTCGCCGCCCGGGAGCCCCCTCCCTCCCTCATCTCCACCGCCTGCGTCATCACCGCAGGAACACCGGGTACGGAAAACGAAAGGCTGGGCGTCCCCAGGCGAGTGGGATGATCCGGGGTCGCCCTTGCCAACGAGCGCGTACGAGCGCATGCCGTGGCCGCGCCTGTTTAAACGCTTTTGGGGTGCGAGGGGGGACGCAGAGCTGGATGCGGATTGAAGCGGCCCGGGCAATGTTTAACCGATGGCCATGTATCTCAACATTATCTCAAACAAAAGAACAGATTTGATCAATGATTTATTTAAAGGATGCAACAATCAGACGCTTAGACCGGGAACACGCTTGAGGGAAATAAATTTAGGCTAGCTACATGGGGACCTGCGCATCGTTGGGGACCTGCGCATCGTTTTTTTTATCTATTTTGATATCGCATGCTACTTAGTGGAATACAGGACGCGTCGCATTGGGCAGGCGGTAAGCTGCGGTACATGGGGACAACTACGCGGCTGCAGGCTCGTTACTCAGGCGGCACCAGACGCGGCGGCCTCGGCGTCAGCATTGACCCAGTCCGAAGTCAGCTCCTGCGTCGATCCAGCCTCTGCGCTGACGCCGTTGACGCCGGCGGGGGTCGCAGAAGGAACGGGCGCGGGGATCTGAACCCACTTCTTGATGTGGAGCGGGTAGTTGGCGGCGTAAAACGCGAGCGCCTCGTCGCGCCCGGTCTTGCGAAACATCTTCTGGTTGGGGACGCCCTTGGTCTGCGCCTCAGCGGCGCCTCTGTGGCTTGCGGGTGAGAAAGTAGCTCGGTCAGGAAAGGCGCATTGACGCACGCAGAGAGATACAGGCCGGGGTCCCGTCCACGCAAGACCACATAGAAGGCCTGGGTCGCCGAGTCCTCGTGGGCAGGAAACGCGGCTGCAAGCTCCTGCGGGGTTGGGGCGACGCCTTCGACAAAGGAGGGAACGGGGACGAAGGCTATACAAGGGCATTAGCAGGGAACAGGCTGCGATGAGAGTGACACGTACTAGTGCCGAGCACGATTTCGGTGAGATGGGCTGGGGGTATTGTAAGCATCGTAGTCAAACGGCGGGCAAACAAAACGCTGGCGGACCTTGGGCCTGCACGACGGCAAGTGCGATGCTCTTGAGCTGAGCAGCCAGTGCGGCCACCTCCATCTGGGGGGTCGCGGCGCGGACTGAGGTGGGGGTAGAGGAAGACATCACAAGGAGGCTGGCGCTGCGGCTGGGCGTTATATGGATGACACCATGTGGCGGACGCGGCAGATTTATGCGCCCGCGTAGCGATGGATGGATACGAGAGCGCGTGGTGCGGAATATTGCTGCATTTGGACAGATGCTAGACAAGGGGGTGGGGGTGCGGCACGATAAATAATATACACGCGTCTCAGGACTGTTGTGCCCGACCGGATTCCGATGGCGTAGATCAGCGAGTGACCTATGGATCCACGCAGGTGGGCGTTTACAAGCCGCAGAGGCGCCGGGCGAGAGCCTGAAATTATTCAGCGTCGAAATTAATAATTATAGACGGTTTGTGAGGCCGGCCTACCTACGACTGACACTGTAGGGCTTCGGAGCTGGTCCTGCAAGCAGCATTCGATGATTAGAACGGCGGAGGGTTGATGGAATCAAGGGACTATGCGGAATGGCTGGATTGGGCGGGGTGAAGGGGGGTGCGCAAATACGGAAATGATACGTGCAAGCGGGAGGGGACGCGCTGATGGAGTAAATGTTTGAGGTTTGACTTTGGTTTGACTTGGGTTTGACGCTCCTTGCACTACCTTCTAGACCAGCTCCCATGGCGCCTGCTAGTAAATTCTCCCCCGAGCAGCGCGACTTCCTCGGGCTCTGGCTCTCCGAGTTCCTGGCCAAGAAGGCAAACAAAAAACTGGATGATTTTTGGCCGCGAATGCGGGCGGCTTGGGTGAACCAGTGGCCCGTCGAGCTTGACTTGGGCCTACCTCTCCAGCAAATCGACCCGATCGCAGGGCCGCCAGCGCCGCTGACGACCGACCAGAAAGACGCGCTGGCGTATGCACTGGGGGGGAAGTTCATGGTGAGCCAACAGAGCACCGCAGTGAATGCGTCTGACTGACTTGTGGTAGCAACTTCGGAACTGGTTCTTTAACCAGTTCGGAAAAATTAGGCTGCAGCGCGGTGGTGTTAGCCGATCGACGCTGTCGCTGGCGGCGCTGTTGTTCAAAGCGCGTCCAAAGGGTCGACGCCGCCACCAAGTCCTGGAGGTGTACCAGAAGAAGTACCCCGAGAAGGTGAAGGGTGCTTTGAGGCTGTCGGAGTACGACTCTTTGAACGAGGCGACAATGTGCCGCGACGACGAAGACCAGTGGATCGACGACGACGATGACGAGGTGAAGATGAAGCGGGTTACGGAGACGCGGAGCAAGCGGATGAAGGTGTTGCGCCGCGTCGTGAAGGAGTGCTGGGAGTTGGAGCCGGAGGAGGTCAGAGCGGCGATACGGGAGGCTGCAATGAACGAGAAGCTCCCAGAGCCAACAGTCGAAGAGGAAGGGAAGGTGTTTGAAAGGACTGCTTTCGAGTATCAAGCGTAAGTGGTCCACCTCTCGATAACGCCGTATTTACTGAACGCGTTGCCCAGGTCTATTGACGAGTCGATGGCGGTGGCTGAGATGTTCTTAACGGAGTTCCACAAGATGACGGGCTGGATGGGTGTTTTGGTGTACGGTGGAGGCGTACCGCGCTTGCAAGGAGAGCTTGGATGCAAGACGTGAGTAATTTCCGTATTCGGACTGACAATGGCTAACGTGTTTCCATCAACCAGTGTTCCTTTTGGCGCTCTACCCAACGGACTCACTTTCGAAAAGTGGCACCCCAACTTCAAAAAAAGTGTCACTAACCCGCTCTTCAAGTTTCTCCGGCAAGCCATCCGTACGTGCCGCTGTTGCGGAACAAAACAACACTGACACCCATTGTGTAGCGCAAGAAGTCCGGCTTAAGCGTGCAATATACGACGACGACAACGAGGAGGAGAACGATGGCGCTCCCACAGTGACAGGCGGGTCGCCCGACGCCGATGAAGCCTCCCCGACGCCGGCGCCGGCGAAAAAATCGAAGCGCAAGAAAAAGGGCGCTGACGACAGCGCGGCTTCCACGCCCACGAAGAACGCGCCAGCTCAAGGCGCAGACAAGCCTCCACGTCGGCCGCAGAAGAAGAGGAAGCCTGTGCCCTCGGGGCCCACCGCCTCGAGAGCAGGATCTGTCGCTAGGGTTGGTGACGTGGCAGTGGCGGCCCACCTCGATGAGGCGGCGGGCTTCGTTTCACCCTCGGACAACGTCCCCTGCGATTACGACGACCATAACATGTATGGCGGTGGCTATGCGGCAGACCCCACCAACTCGACCACCGGAAGTGTCCTCCCTCGCACCGACGTCGACGTCCACAATTTCCTCGCCTCCACCAACATCGAGAACTTCCTGCCCAACACCGATGGCGCGAACTTCCTACTCCAGAACGATAGTGCCCTTCCCTTTCTCCCCAACAGCAATGTGGGGACATTCAGCGACTTTAACGACTTCCTCCTCTCGAACGCTGGCCCACCCAGTTTTACCGGCACTGGCTTGGACAACGGCACGTTTGCGTCCACGGACTGGACGCTATGGCCGGGGACGCAGAATGCGGGCGCCGGTGAGGGGTTCAGCTTCCCCGCACCGTTCACGATGGATGAGCCGGGAACGGGGCCCACAGCGCTGCAGTTCTCAGAGGCTCCACCGCAGAGAGCTCCGGACCTCTCGACGATAGGAGGTGCCCTCGAGTTTGCTAGCGCGCCCGGGATCATCCAGCACCCACCTTCTCGTCCGCGGCCGACACCTCGCTTTGCAGGCGCTGTATCGCAGGAGGGGTCAGCGCACATATTTGGACGTCCAGCTCAATATCGGCCAATCAACGAGCCGCAGGTGCAGTGCAGCGAGGCGTCGTCGAGCCCCGCGACAGCGGTTGCCCACTCGTCTCTGAGTACACCCAAGCTGCTGCCTTCGACACCTGCACGTTCGTCACCCCTGAGCCGCCCACCCCTTCAAGCCCCCTTGACGCCTCCGCGCTCGTCAATACCGCCTGCGTCCGGGGCCTTGCCACCCCGCCTTCGGCCGTCCCCCGCTCGAGGCGTCTCATCTGTACCGCGCACCGTGCCGCCAAGCCCCCCGGTCTTCCCGCAGTCGAGGCCGATGGCAAACGCTCCCAAACTGCCGAAGCTGGTGATAACTCTGGAGGAGAAGGCGAAGCGCATGGAGAAAGCGCGGGCGGCGAAAAAGGCAGGCACAAAAAAGGTGGCGGTGGGGGCGAGGGGCAGTGGGGAAAAAGGGGAAGGGGGCACAAAAAAGGCGGCCGGTGGGGCGAAGGCGAGTGGGGTCACAGGAACGAGGGTAGAGCCATCGGGCTATGCGGGGTCAGCGCCTCCAGCGGCCGCGTCAACGTCCAGGCCCCCGGTTGCGGTGCCGGGAGGTGTCGCGGCCCGCCCGCGACGAACGATTCAAGCGCCTCAGAATCGGGGTGAGGTGGTATCGCTGCAGGAGAGGAACAAGGCGCTGGGGGCGCAGGAAAAGGGAGCGGAGGTGTTGCTGGAAAAGGGGGGCACGAAGCGCAAGGCGGTGAGCCAGGAGAATCGTGTGCCTACAAAAAGGTAATCTTCTTTTCTTTCTGCCCATCTAACTTGTCGCTGATGCGCATATACAGGGTTAAAACAACGGGGTAAGCCTGGGAAGGCAATAGCTACAGTATATCGCAGCCTGCATGTACATTCGTAGTAGCACTTTCTACAATTTTGATGTGCGGACTTGCGCATTTTGCGGACTTGAGCATTTTTAAAAATAATAATAAACTACAATACTGAAATAAAGGGGCTTCTAAAGCGGACCCAAAGCTCAGTTGGTTGAGCCGCGCCCTCAGATGAGTGTCCGTTATATTCGCGGGCGGCGTTGGTGAGGGTTCGAATCCCTCGGGGTCCATCTTTTTTCATCGCTTCGGTGGCTAAACGGTTAACGCGTATCTGCTTACGTATTATATCGTCACTTCAATTCTGCGGATAAGATTGAGGGTTCGAATCCCTCCCGAAGCTCTGTGCTTTAAAAGTTGGTCTTTTTTTTTTTTTGAGGCCATTAATTCGAACATGACCTTGTAGCTTAAATTCTTGAGGATTATTGTGGATTCGAGCCCTCTTGATGTTTGTAGATAGCACTTTCGTTCACAGTAGTATGCTTGTATCCCAAAAAATGTTATTTTTCTACAGGAAAACATAAGTAACTAAGTTCGGGACGAGGATGGCGCGTTGGGCACAGCGGAAGCGGGTGGCAGCGTAGTAGGCAGAGCGATGGTGAAGCGACAGGGCGCGCGGGACGCGCGGGAGCGGCGGCAACGGCGGCGGCGGCGGGCGGGCGGGCGGGCGCTAAACGCGGCGGTGCGGAAAGAGGGCCTGGATAGGCGGAGCTAAAGCGGGTGGCAGCAGCCACAGTAGTGGGTAGAGAGGTGGTGAAGCGGCGGGGCGCGCGAGGCGGGCGGCAGCGGCGGCAGCGGCGGCGGGCGCTAAACGCGGCGGTGTGGAAAGAGGAGGGCGCGGATAGGCGCAGCTGAAGGGGCTGAGCAGCGGGCACATTGGGCGAAGAGGCCAGGTGAAGCGGCAGGCGGGGCTGGGAACCGGCGGGAGCAGTGGCGGACAGGTGGGGGGCGGGCATTAAACGCGGCGGTGCGGAAAGAGGCGCAGCTGAAGCAGGTGGCAGCGGCCACAGTGGTAGGCAGAGCGATGGTGAAGCGACAGGGCGCGCGGGACGCGCGGGAGCGGCGGCAACGGCGGCGGCGGCGGGCGGGCGGGGGGGCGCTAAACGCGGCGGTGCGGGAAAGAGGAGGCGCGGATAGGCGCAGCTGAAGCGGATGGCAGCAGCTACAGTAGTGGCCAAAGGGATGGTGAAGGAACAGGGCGCGCGGGGCGGGCGGGAGCGGCAGGAACGGCGGCGGCGGGTGGGTGCTGAGAAGAGCCCCAATCATAACACGTGTAAACAAGCCTCGACCTGCCACATTCGTCGACCTTGCAAGACCTGCTGCATGCTCCACCGCTAACGAGCAAGCGTGGCAACCTACGTACGAAGTCTAAGCATCCATATGTACCTGGCCATCCCATCGCGTGACCCGCGCGAGCGCAGGCGGGGAACGCCCAAAAAAGGTAAGCCCGACGCTGCACCGCCACCCGCTGGAGGGCGCGCTGCAACAGCGCCGCCGCCCGGGAGCCCAGCCCAAAGGAGACACTGTGTTGCATTGGGTCTATCAGGTGCGGTGATATATCACTCTCGTCTCTGCACGACAGGTGCTGATACATCAGCACCTATCTCTCACTACATTGGTATGATATATTATATATACACAACCCGCTGTCGACGCACCGTCTTTCCTGTAGATGGGGGCCAAAACCACGGCCTAGAAACTTGGCCCGGCCCTTAAATCGCGGTGTGAGATGTTAGATTACCCTATATTTTACATAGTTGGGGGCTGGAGTTGAATAATTACCGAAAAAAACGGTCATATTCACTTCCAGCATTTGCCGAATCTACAGGGTCAAGTAGGTACGAGAGATTCTACTACTTCTTACGATCAGAAGCACGACATCGTGGGACCTCCTTCGACGGCGCTTGGATTAGCCTCGCTGGAGCAAGCAGGTATTGCAATGGTCTTACGAATCTCACCGATCCCGCCGGGAAATTATTAGCAAGATACCATTCAAAATCACAATAGACTTCATTCTCCCAACTGCCATTGTGGTAGAATGTATTCAACTTCGACCATCGGTGCTGGTATGCCGCCGACTTAGTCCTGATCATGCACATGTCCCAAAATGGTCCACATACGCCGCCTTCCCGCCGCAAACATCAGAGCTATCAAGAGCGACGGTGACCTCCTTCATCGTTGATCACGGTCTTTAAATCCATCCGTTCTCAAGGCTATCATTGTTATGTCTTCTCTGATAACATCATTCCTTTTGTGCGCAATTTTTGTCTCCCTTTGAGTCGAAATGTAAATGTGCACGCGTCCTAGGCGCACAGACTTGTTTTTCCTTGGTGCCTCCTTTTTTGAGCACATATTTACCCGGGCCAATTCTTCAACTCGCGTCATCGCAATCCTGTTCACTCCCAATCAGGCGTGTTTCTTCTTTGGGAACCCAAACGCGCGCCCCGCCCGATTATCCCGCAGAGCCCTCTTCGTCCCCAGATGGGGCGCCGCTAATTCCTTGCTGGTGGGTCTGGATACAGGATCCGGCTCACATGCGACTGATCGACGGTATATATATATGCCAGTTGAGCCCACGACTCCCTGTCAGGCAAGGGGCGAGTCAATGATGCGCCAACATGTCTCGACAGTTGCAGCCCATATCCACTGATAGTCGTTGGGCTTGATAAAATTTAAACTCGGCGTACTGTACCTCTCGATCGCTTGGAACTTCCCGACGCGCGGTACCCATAATTAGCCATGCAGGAGTGTCGCGCATCGTCCCAAAATGATCTGACTTGGATGAATGAATGACTCCCTACATTCTGAGACGTTGCCTTCAACCCCAGACGCCATACATTCTCACCCTGACTCGCGCGGATCTTTTCGCGGGTTTACCATTTTCGGAACAAGTGATGTTCGACGCGTCGTAAAGTTCGTGACAGCTTGTGCGCTTCTATAATGGGGCAATTTAATTCCATACCGAGAATACAAGGGTAAACTACAATAACAGCCCGGGCTTCGTGCGGAGAGAAAACCATGACACGGGAAACGAACAGGAGACAATTACACAATATTATGTCGTAGGGAGTCTAGGGGGTATCACCACAGCGACATGAGGCTCTTCAAGGCCGAGAATCTTTTTCGCGTTGAGCCGGTTGCGCGTGTGTTGCCCCCGCCGCGACTCGGTGGGGTACTCGCACTTCCGTTTTCGCCGTGCACACTGGCTGTTGAAGGCGTGTAATGTAAGGATATATTCTTCCGAGCGAAAAGATGTGAGACACGCACTTGCACGTCTGGTCTGGCTCGTCCTCGGGCGGCCGGGAGCACCCGATTTTGCGCTCGCGGCAGAAGAGACACGCCATGAGCTGCTTCTTGTTGCTGCCCGTCCGCTTGACCTGGTTGATTTTGAACATCTGCGGCCATTTACGCAGGTCGTCTGGCATCGGGAACTGCCCGAGGGAGCCATTCAGTAGAGCTGCGGGAGTGGGCGGGCCCGACGACGTGGGCCGGCTGGTCCCGGAGATGTAGGGCAGCGACTGCGTTGAGTAACCCCAGGTGTTCGTGGGGCGGTGGTGCATTGACGAGTCATGGAAAGATACGGGCGGGGGAAGGAAAAGGTCATCGTGGTATCTAGTGTCGACTTGATTTTGTACATAGCCTCCGGAATATGTTGGGCGGTGGGAGTAATGACCGAAGTCAGAGTGGTTACGAGCAGTTTCCAATCCGTCGGGGAGCTGAAGTTAAATTAGAGCTCGAGTCGATCGGGATACTACGAAGGGACACTCACATCGTGAATGAGGTGTCCTGGTGAGGATTGTGTGCTATAAGTCCCTGGGGGACTGCAGCTGGACGTCGTCTGGCTGGCTTCTGGACTAGATGCCGATGAATCGCTCGGAGTATAGGAGAGGGTATATGAATCTTGGCGCGGGCCCGTGCACTGGGCGGGGAGGTCTAGGTACTGGACCGCCATCAGGGATGCGTCGAGGTATTCGTCAATGGCGGCACTGGTATCCTCAGGCATGAAGTTTATGTTTACATCGTTGAAGCGGGATGTGGACTATGGTATATCAGCCTCGACGGAAAATCGGAAGAGAACGTGACGAACGGCTGGATGAGGTTGACGAGCCACGAAGCTGTTGTCTGACCCCCCGAAGTAAGACGGATGCGAGGGATGGTCAAAAGCCACTGTGTGGGGGCGGGCACGCTCATTCGACGCGTCCATCGACCGGCCCCGACCTGGGGGAGGCGGTGGGAAGAGAAGTGGGTCGAAGTGTACGTTTCCCGCATCGATGTCGCGCGACGCGTCGTACGGAAACTCGGAGCTTGATAGCATTGTGGCGGAACAAGAAGGAGGGCGGGGAGGTGGAGGAGGATGGGAACAGCAGGAGAGACCGATCATGGAAGGTATTTATCGATTATTTGAGCTGAGCCTGTAGGCGTGCACGAGGGTCTCGTTAGCTGTGCTGCATTTTGTTAATAGCACAAGGACCCACAGAATCACCTTACCGCTGACCTTTTCGACACCGGTTTATCGCTTCGCATTTCATCAGGACTCAGACCCGAGAATCCCATTGATATAACCGCTCATTGCCCCATTCTCCCCACCTCTCCACAGCCAGAGTAGAGACAAGTCTCTCGCATTTTTTTTTCATGGGGAGGACAGAAGGTTGTGCCAGATCCGTGGGGCCGAGGGGCTATCGGAAAAGATTGTCATGCGACGTTGTCCAATTTCGAGAACAACAAGTCCAGAAAAGATGCGACGGGGATCTCAGTCGTCCGTCGAGGGCGGGTCATACAGAAGACTAGCCGAACGCGGATACGCGTGTTGTGCCGGGCGATGGCCGCGGCCGCACCTGGACAATCAGACGTTAGGGTGCGCACCCACAACGGGAAGAATGAGCAACCGAGATTCAATCGCAATAGGGCTACCATGAGCGTGGATCTTCTGTTGGTTAACAAGGACCTCACCATGCCAGAGAACGACGCCACATTCTACAGATTCAGTCGAACGCCGTAGAGTTGACATGGGAATTTGCCAGCGCTGAAGCCCCTGGCGGCAAGTGGGCTATCGACACGCTTGATGCCAACATGGACGTAAGACCAGTCCTCCACTTGGGCACGATTTCACTGGATATAGCATCGGCCTGCCCGGTCTGATGGAGTGAACAACAGATCAACATTGAAGGAAGCAAGGGATTCCTCACCTGTTTCTCATGTACGACGTCCGAGTTCTGTAGCGTGTGCACCGCAT